CATTATCAAACCCTTATGACAAAGAAATGTAATTGAGGTAAAAAAAATATGATTTAATGTAAAATGTAATGTGCTTCTTCTGTGCAATGTTTTTTGTGTAAAATACACGTTTTCAAATAGGCAAAGAGCTGATTTCTATCCACCAAGGGGCTCTAATGTTTGGACGTACCCAAGTGTGTTTGTGTATGTTCTGGTTTTACAGCTGGATAGATGAAGTGTTTTTTGTGATTTGTTTTTCAGCACATTTGACCAGTTCTTCAACAACAAACAGAGTGATGTTTATTCAATGGTGCTTACATTAGAGGGTTAATTGGAATAATATCCATTTTATGTTTCCAGAAAAAGATTGTTCCCAGAGTCAGTGATAAGAAACATAAGCTTTCAGATATTACAAGGCCTGTCATTTATTCACAAACATGGTAGGTGTATGTGTTCTCCTCTTGCCTCGCATGTGCATGGGAGTGGCTGCATATACTGCAAGATTCAATGAAGAGTTCTACAGTGTCAAAGTAACAAGGACCCTATAAATTATGAATATTTCAGCCTGCCTCATCAAATTGGCGATTAGCTGATCAGAATCTTGGAGTTTGTGAACCCTCCATAACTGCCTCATTCATCCTGACTCTCTGATCTTCATTTCTCTAACTAACGGATGTGTGGAAAACTCATTTGTTGGGTAGTAAGTTTTGAAAATCTGGCAAGTGTCACACATAACCCATGATTCCACACATCCGGTTTAAATGCATGCGCTTTTCGTCCCTTTTTAACTTCTTTTCTTTCATGTATCTGTCTTTCCTCTCTTCTTCTATTTCTTTGGTCTGCAACTAGAGAGAATAAGATGTTCTCAGAGAATGAAATTAGGAACATCATGTTTCAAGTGCTCTCTGGGCTGGTATTTGTGCATAAGCATGGTAAGAGGCTTTACTCTCTCACTCTTAGCTTGACTTGTAGTTGGGATGCTGTGTTTTGTTATTGTTAGAAGTCAATGTGACCCTCTACGACGAGTATTAGGGACAATTAAAGGGGTGGAAAAAAAATCATTACCAGAATAAAGTCAATGTATGTATAATATATGCATAATATCTCTGAAATGTATTTTATTTATTTCCAATATGTCCCTAATACTGTGTAGGAATCCTCAGACAGACTCCTAATAATATTGCATATTGTTTTATTGTGTCTAAGCGGTAATGTAGGTTAATGCATGACTTTGGATATATTCTGTATGAACCTGGGCCAAAACTTATTTGTTTGTGACATCAAACATTGTAACTTCTCGAAGTTTAGCAAACTTGATTAATCGAGAGACATTTCATTTTTAATTTTAAGAATGATGGTAGAAATGATGTTGCAGCCATATGTACGATTCACATTCATATGCAATGACATCTTAAGTATTGTAAATTTAAGGTTTGACAACTAAAATCACTGGGTCAAGGTTAAGGAGAAACAATCTGGCCCTGGTTACTGTAAATACAAAAAACTGAAGTACAAAAATCTGTTGTGTAGTATAAAATGCTTCTACAGAGTATATGTGTAATTAATTTCAGTTGGCTAAAAGCATGTTGTTAACTGTTGTTCAGGCTTCTTCCATCGAGACATGAAGCCGGAGAATCTGCTGTGCATGGGTCCAGAACTGGTCAAAATAGCAGATTTTGGACTGGCCAGAGAGATCCGCTCCAAACCTCCCTACACAGACTACGTATCAACCAGATGGTGAGAGGAGTTTCCAGACATCAGTAGCCATCAGGGAAAAAAAAAAAGTTCATACATTCAGAACAGTTTGTTAGAGCAATTAACGTAGGAATAAGTTGGACTCATTGTGAAACTGTAGCGGGTCAGAGGACGTCAGCTGAGTAGGGGGCCGTTCATATGTGGTCCAGGGTGCATTTGCGTTCAAAGCACCTCAGAACGTCATCTGAATGAAGGACACATTTGAGTGCATTCACACGCTGTGTGCTTGGGATGGACACTTAGACTCAAATATACAGGGTCTTATATTTGCATCCTAAATATTTGTTTATGGTTTGTTTATTTCAGCACTATTAAGTTTTGTATTTTCTCTGTGAAGGTATCGTGCTCCAGAGGTCCTGCTCAGGTCATCTACCTACAGCTCTCCTATTGACCTGTGGGCTGTGGGCTGCATCATGGCAGAACTCTACACACTCAGACCTCTTTTCCCCGGGAACAGTGAAGTGGATGAAATCTTTAAGATCTGCCAAGTCCTGGGCACCGTCAAAAAGGTGAGAAGAGGCTGAATGGAGAGAAGTGAGAATGCAAAAACCTGGTGGAAAAATGCGGTATGGGTCAGGAGAGACCTTAGTATATTTTGGTCTGGATCCAGATCAGGGGCATTTTTCCACATTTTCATTGATTTCTAATGTTATTCATGGATCTTGATGAAAATAAATCAGGCAAGTTTCGGGGAGTTATCATTTTAGAGCATAGGACAAGATGGTGGATATCTTTAAATATATCTATGAGTTTGTGTAATTTGGTGTAGCTCCAAATAAAAGTTTGGATCTAGAGAATTTAAAGGTGGCTTCATAAGGTGACTGTTGGGATGTATTCTTCGAAATATTAAACATTAAACCTCATGCTGATGCACACAAATATTAATACTAGTGAAACAAAATCTCTATTTAAGTCTTACTAATGAATCTTGTCATGTGTAACCATCCATTTTTCTCCAATAGATGGATTGGTCAGAGGGCTACCAACTAGCTTCTGCGATGAACTTCCGCTTCCCCCAGTGTGTGCCCACCCACCTAAAGACCCTGATACCGAATGCCAGCAATGAGGCCATCGCCCTGATGAGGGACTTGCTGCAGTGGGACCCCAAAAAAAGACCCACTGCCGTGCAGGTAGGCAAGACTGAGCCTCACAGTCCTGACACAAGAGTCATGGTTTCATTTGTCCGGTGTAGGTGCCCTTTATTGGGAGAAAAGGTATTCAATATTTTAGGCACTTTAACATGTAACTGTGAATGTCAAGCTAATAAAAATAACATGTAGCATTGTAATATCATTTATTATTTAACTTGTGCATTATGAAGAATGCTTTGGAATTTCTTTTCCAGTGAAGTGAAGAATTCCATTCACTGAAGATTATCATTAGTTCTAACATCAGCATCATAACTTCAGTAATTTCATGTAGGTCTGGAGCCACATTCTGTGCTACTGCAAAATGTTGAGCCCCAGCGTGTGTGCTCCATGTCACATGCACATCATTTGATGACATTGTTAAAAATGATTTACAGTCCAGGGAGACAACTGAATTACTCATAGGAAACACCTTTCCAGTGGGAGTGACAACACTTTTCCAGTTTCTGCTTACAAAGATCCCTGGTGTAATCTCATCAAAAACCCCGATAAAGATTATTTTCCCCTCGCAGATCTGGTTCTGTGCACTCGTATCACATGCACATGACTGGTTGTTATGAATTTTGAGACTAATTACACAATACTCAAGAGTCATGTAAAGACTCTATATTTACCAATTTTCCACAGTGGATTATTGCCACTCATGCAACCAAGACAGTTATGTGGTCAAAAGTCTGTATGTTTGAAAAGAGTGAAATAAGGTGTTGATGGGATTAATTATCTACCTTTAGTGGCCGCCCAAGTAAAACTTCCAGTGAAACCACTGGACCCAACTGGGAAGCGCCTGCATTAAACCTCCCTGCAGGCCTGAGCATGCAGGTTGCTCTATGGGTTTTATATATGTTGTTTATTTGTTCAGGTTTTAAATAAGTCCCAGTAGTTGAAGGGTTTATTTGCTATTGAACAGAACAGCAAAGTATTTCTATCTTTCTCTGCTAGGCCCTGCGTTACCCGTACTTCCAGGTAGGCCAAGTGTTGGGGCCTCGTCCTCAAAGCCAGGAGGTCAAAAAAGTCCAAGCCAGGCCACCAGCCCAGAAGCAGCCCTCTGAGATCAAGACTGATCACCAGCAGTCTTCCTCCGAGTCCAAAGGCTCCACATCTTCATTTAAAAATCATCATCATCATCATCATCAGCAACAGCAGCAGCAACAGCAGCAGCAGCATCAGCATCATCATCATCATCATCATCATCATCAACCTCTTCAGCAGATCCCTCTGCCTCAACCCGAGAGTAAACCAGGAGGTGTTAGTCATGCAGTGAGTGTTTCTGTGTGATTATATTATGGGAGCTCCATAAACTACTGAAGGGGTTTTAATTGATGTGATTTTTGTGATGTTACAAATGTTATTTGCAGCATTCTGTGTTTGAAATGAAAGAACTCAGGGTTCTGTAGTTACAGAACAGTCTGCAGGGCATCTGGTCCAAACATGACAGTTTGTGTGGATACTATCTCTCCCTTCTGCAGAAAGCATCGCTGGGCAGTGAGAACAGTGCTGGGGGTGGTGTGGTGGGTGCGCTGAAGAGCAGTCGTCGCCGCTGGGGACAGACGGTGGCCAAGACCTTGGACAGCTGGGAGGAATCCGACCAGTTAGAAAACACAGCCTCCAATTCCAAGAAACCGAGCCTGGGAAACGCAGAAGAGGAGAGGAGCGCTAAGGAGCACCACTCACAGTAAGTGCTGCAATGTCTGCATAGAACTGGATTGGCAATTTGACAAATTTAAGCATTGAAAAGTCAGAGGATCCGGACCAAACAACTGAAAGTGCTCTTAATGTGACGCATTACATTCTGTCTGGTTTCTGTTTTCAGGCCCAAGGAGCAGACACCTCTGTATTCCTTCAGCACAGTTACTAAGCTGCCCAACAATGTGAAGGTTGGCCAGGTGGACTACAGTCTTCCAGGATCAGCTGCACGGCAGCACTACCTCAGCCAGTCACGCTACTTGCCTGGTAAGACAGCACGGTTAACAGCCAGTCAATCAGCTTAATCCCAGCAATGAGGTCAACATAACTTGGTGTAATACAAACAACTGTGTAACTTTCTTTGGGTTTCTTTGTCATAAGAAAAGACATGTACACGATAAGATAGGAAACCTATTAAGAATAAACAATTTAATTAATCAATAAGATCAAAATAGAAATATTATATGCAATAATAATACATAAATACAATATAGATTATTATTCTATACATTTGTAAAAGAAAAAAAATTCTGGTATTTGGATTACAGGCATTAAAAAAACTACTGTTTCCATTGGGACTCAGATTTTTCTTTCACTCAAGTTGCCCTCTAAACTGCTTTAAGGTTTGATCGGCAAAAATCAGACGACTTCCGCGGGCGACAGGGAGATGAGCGCCATGACGCTTCGGGATCTGTGGGAGAACTCCTCTAACACTGTGAGCAAACCACTGGCTCCCATTGGAGGAGGATTATCTGTCACCAGAACCAATGCAGGTAAGTGGATAGAGTTTGTAGGAGTAGGAGGCGTTGATTTAAAAAGAATCACATCAATTAAAACCTCTTCAGTAGCTTATAGAGCTCATATAATATAGAGAGGAAGATAATGACCTGTGTTCCAGGATATTTCTATAAACAAATTTGTGATAACAGAAATTAATGTTTCTGAAGTTTCCTATATTACATTAATGACATCAAGTTAAGTCTTCTGCAACATAAACAAATGACGCTGTGACTCGTCTCATTCGTCATGCAGTGGAAACCTGGCAACTGTCACTGTCATCCACTGCTACACGATATGAGACTATCCTCTGTGACACTAAAGCCGTAAATGCTAATGACGCCGCTAATGTCTCCTGATCAGTAGTTACGGGGCCACGGACAAAGCCGTGTCAGGGGTGAGCCTAAGTGTCTGCGAATTTAGAGATGGGAGCCCTCTAAAAATCATTTGTCATGTAGACAGACAGACACACAATATGACTCCCCGCTGTGCTCCCTCCTTCCCTCTCCTCCGTCTCTTTCTTTGGCTTCGTCTCTCCTTCCCCATTGCTTATTCATGAGATTAAGACTGTCCGTATAAGATCAAGTGTTTAAACGGCCCTCACACCCCCTGCTCATTTGACCCACCTCCCCAGCATTTAAACACACACACCAGCATGTTCATGATATTTCTGTTTTCTCATCTCATTTTCTTCTTTTTCTCTGATTGCATGTCTTCCCCTCCAACTCTCCTTTTTTCGCTGTGAGAACAGAAGACAGTTCCTCTAAGTCTGTGGATAGCCCACAAGAGAAAACGGTTGTTAAAGAAAGAATACTGGAGAAAATTGATTTGTCCAAAGGTACTTGAAGCAAATGACTTCATGAGAACTATTTGCTGTATTTTCTCGTTGTAAGCAATCGTATAAAGTTAGATATCTGTTGATTGTAAGGTGCTAGCCACGCTAAAGCTCTTTAGTGTACAAACTGTGTAGCTGTAGTTAGAGTAGAGCGCCACAGTGGCCACATTTAGAATGGTTCTGGTTACAGAAGTACATTTCCAATTAATCTTTTCCATTGACGTTCCAGAAAATCCTTCTGAAAAGAGTTTTAAAAGGTCCAGTGTGTAAGATTAGTGAAAGGGATCTATTGGCAGAAATTGAATATAAAATAAACCTCTTGATGCTTTTTAATTACATCGGGAGCAGGTCCTCTCTAGGGAGGCCACCATGTTTTTTTTACAGTAGACCAAACTAGACAAACACCTTTTGAGTTTTTATGACAACTGAAGGCTACCACAGGTTCTCCTTCATGTTTGGAAGGAGAGGGTGAAGGGTATTCAGGCACAAATAAACCATGCTAATGATCCCTTTCCATCTTTTTCTCATCTCTAAAAAAGACTGTACCATGTTAGAAAGGGAAATCATGGTTTCCCTGTGCTTAACGTAATGTAACGCTGAACCACCTGATGTGGTAAACATTTATATAGTTACGGTGAGCTCCACCTATCAGAGATGTCACTGTTACACCTGAGGATTATGGGTAGTGGAGTACTTCTCACAACACAGTTGATACCATACGGAGTTGTGGCTTCTACAGGAGCATATAACATTGTTTCACAATCTTGTAAATCTATGCTGGATGGTTAAAATATTGCGGCTTATAATCACATTCTATACTCTACAGAAAATGAATGTTTGTTTTACTTCTGGAACATCGCTGTTGAGCTCAATGGAGCGAGATTAAAATTAGATAAACTAACAATCAGCATGGCCTCTGATATAAGCAAGCCTCAGGTATTCAGCCAGTGACTTAACATGAGAAAGAGAGCCAGCAGCTAAAAGCTCTGCAGGAGACGAGGGTATAAATACACAATTTAACCTGGGAACTAAGAACTCCTGTTGCTAAATAGATGGTAAATTGCACTACAACCACAACAGCCTCATGTGGGAACAATGGGGCTCTCGACTAATTATACTGATAAACATCTGTGAGTGCTGGTGAAGCAGATCGATGGTGTCACTCCAGAAGTTGAATGACTTCAATCACTCGACCTTATTCATCTGTTTTCTTCTTTTTTGTTTTTTTGTTTTTGCATATGCAGCAATACTTCACACACAGTTTACAAGAGCATTTACTAGATGTTAGCTTTCTTAATTTGAATGTTTATTTTTGTAGCTTCAATGTAGTTATTGTTAACTTGTTAACTTGTTATATTATCTCTACATAGTCTGCATGTGAATATGCAGAATCTGTAGGTGAGGGACAAGATTTTGGTGCCATTTCTAGTTTGACCAATCCAACTGAGCAGGCTTTGGTTGCCCAAAGGTAAACAGTCTGTGCTTATGTGCTATATGCTTTTTAATTTGTCTGCATTCATATGCAGACAGCTGCTAACAGAGATGGCCAAAATGTCATCTGGAACTAAAACACCTACAAAAAGAATCACTGACCACAGTCGAATGCACTGCTAATGGTGTACGTGAATGGAGGGCGGAGACTTGGCCCTCATATCTACACCGGAAGCCCCAAAATATTTGCCTATCAGGCCAATTCATTGCAAGACTGTAGCCAATAGCCCCAAAGGAAGTTAGCCTAAAGTCCATGCTGGGTGGGTACCTGATAGGTTTAACAACAAAATACACACAAAAAAACTAACTATGTCTCTCTTCTCTTGTACAGGGAACTTTGTTAGCACCAAGTACAACCTCTCAAGCGGTTACATCCCTTCATTCCAAAAGAAAGAGGTGGGCTCAGTGGGGCAGAGAATCCAACTTGCTCCTTTGGCTGGGCAGCACACAAGTAAGGACGCATTTCATCTATGTCAAGCCAGCATGATCATTCTTGATCAATCCAAGACTTTTCCCCCTTACGTTCCTCATTTTTACTTGCTGCATTATCGGCCCGCGCTTGGCCATTATGCCTTGTTTCCTGCATTCAGTTTCCCCTTCCTCACTTATTTTTTTCTCTCACTGGTACAACCTGCTGCTCTTTCTTCACTCTTTCAGTCTCTTCTTCTCCTGATAATAAAAAAGACAAAGCTATAGCTGCAAAGCCCAAGCCCACATCCAACTCATTTTTGAGTGAAACCAATGAAGGTATTGTCATTTTCTTATTGCCACAGAAATAATATACATATGATACTGCAAATATATATTGCTATGGTTTAATAAATACACTACAAGCCAAATTCCCATTCCCAAAAATTGTCCTTTATTCTTTTCTACTGCATTAAATATAGAGACGCTCTTAATAAAAATGTACGTGCAGTAGAGGTTGTATAAACTGATAAAGTGGCATGTTCCTTACAGATTACGAGGGCTGGAAGAAGAGGACGGACGGGCCACAGGTGAAGGGGAGCACCTACTCAGCTCTGGGGAAAACCTCTGGGAATCTCCTGACCAGAGCCCCTGCAGTACAGCCCGTCCACGGGAGAATGGACTGGACATCCAAGTATGGCGGAAATCGGTAGTTCTGGGGAGAAAGACACAACGACTTCTGCTTGTTGGGCGGTGGTGCCACGGTGCACAACTTTGGCTGTGAATCTGAAAACGAGCAGAGTTTTGACCTTTTTTAAGCTCAAATCTGGAGAAAATATGACAATTTTATGCTCCTCTAAAAAAAACACATCTAGGTGTGCATGACACATCCCACATACTTTTTTTCCATCATGCAAGATCAACTTAACTTATACTCACAGTCTGTATATTGTGGAGATGAAGGTTGCCATGAGCCAAGACTGATACTGTCTGCAAGACAATCCCTCTGTTTCCTTGGAGGATTCAGTGTGAGCCAATTCTACTGTTAGCAGTTGGATGTTCTGAGTAGGATTTAAAAGTTGCATAGCTTTTTTAACTAGTTTTTAATTGTCAAGTATTGTTTCACTACCCATGGACAAAATGTTAACAGCCTTTTATCAACATGCTGCATTCTCTCTGCTTTAATCCACCAATGTAGCCGATAGATTCTCAGTGTAACGGCTAAAAGGCCAACATCAATTTAAAATATTGTGAAGTGACTTCAAACACCTTTGTGTTATGCAATGCATAAACAGACCATTTTGTAAGCATTTTATACAATAAATATTTGAAAGTTCATAGCATTCTTACTTTTTTTTTAAAATAAAGGACACGACAGACATTTCTTTTATATAAACAAATGACTATATTTCAAACATGAACATGATAAACAGCGAAAGACACATTGGTCCTGAAGGAGACGATGAGATACACGTCACAATCTACACTCCATCAGGACTCCTGGGGTTTCTGGAGCAATGCCATGCCAAGCTTCCCCACCATCATTAGACTGGAAGAAGATAACAGAGGTCATATCAGAGTGATGAAAGATGTACAACCACAAAGAAAGGGAAAATGTTAGTTGTTTTTAAAGGAGATGTCACATTCTGAGCAAGTTTCTATATGGGATTAACAGCAAAGTGCCAGAGTCCTGCGTTGCTCCATTTCTGCCAACTCTCACCTGCAAAGCTCCATACCCGACCCGTTACCATCTCCTCATCAGGACCCATCAGGAGCCACTAACATTTGACCCACGACCAAACCCTAAGCCTGTGATTTAATACACATGCTATATGCACAGTCGCTCAAATCAACTGGGTGATGGCCTCCTGGTTCTCTCATTTTGGTGGTTGAGTTGTGTTCTTGGAAGAGTATCTGTGAATTCTCAGAGCACCTGCACTCCTGCAGCTGTTAAGGAGTTTCAGCGGTGGTTTCCTAGGCTTTTGCAATAAAAGAAATACTTCTGGCTGACTAGGCTTCATATTAGCTGATACAGATGTGAGATGATTTTAATTTCTGATTTCTGTAGGCGGGGGGACACAGTGTTTGGTTCATTTTTAAGCATGCAAAAACATTATATATTTTCTACCCGTTACACAACTTTTATGCAGATTACCCGAACATTGAAAATACAGAATTGCTTCCACAGAGCAAAACACCACACCCTGTCCTCAGCACTGATTATTACTACTTCACAGTATGATCTGCATGCAAAATCCATATAACCGTATTAATGATACCTTGCTGCAGCCATCAAGCCCGCTGGCATGAATTTCCTGGATCCATAGAACCTCTTCCCCATTACGCCAGTCAGAGCTCCTGAGGTGGCTGGAATGTGGTGTGAAATATTGGTAAATGCTGACAAATACAGGAAGCATGCAGACGACACAGAAACAGTAAAGGTAAATCTTATTAGCCCACATGCAACACACACACAGGAAAAAAATATTGTACCAACCAAGGGACACCCAAACATTATTGGGGTCATTGGAGATCTGGTAGGCACCAAAACCTGCAAGGCTCCCGAAGAGAGCACCTGCAGCCAAAGAGGGGACGCTGCCTGGAACAGACAACAGGCCTCAGGTCAACACCCGCACCAGACATATGTATAGACATTTAATGAACATGGACACTGAGGTCTTCTCAGGGGATAAATGTTATTGTGACTGGAACCGAGTTAGATTTGTGTGAGTTCTGGTGTTCAAATAATACACAATCCCTGGGTACACTCAATACTGATGAAGAGAGACAAACATGGTAAGTTTCACTGAAGATTCAGCAGCTTAAACTCTGCAAATATCGTTTCAGGACATACATCAGGATGTCTGTCTAGTGTTTGAAGAACTTTTTAATTTAAATTTAATTCCTTCACTGCTGAGCTGAACTGTTTCTCCTCATCCAACACCTTCCATTGCACTGTTGACCCCGGGCAAACCTACACGTGACAAATACATCCTAAACACTAGTTCCCAGCCTACCTGCTTTCACGTAACCGATGACTCCGCCTGATGCGATCAGCGCTGCGTACCCGTACCCGACCCAGTCCACAGACATGTTGGACACCTGTCAGGACACACACACACACACACAC